CTGGCTTGATGAGGGGGGATTAGCAGGGATTTTCCAAGCAGCAAGCATGAATTTATAAAAAACAAAATCCATAGGTGGAATAATCTTGTCAAACTGCCAGCTGTGATATCGGGGCCTCATTTTAATTTATTTACCACTGAGTGTGAGTGGCATGGAGCTATAGTATCCCACATGGTCCTTTTCTGGATTAGGTGTGTGGTAGACATCTGCTGACCAGCACTTGCAGAAGTTGAATTCTTATCGAATGCTGTTTGCAGGGAGTCTTGTAGCTAAAGCCTTTTAAATCAAAGGGAATCATCAGGGAGAACAAAAGATAATCTCCTGCCCTTAAGAGACGGGCCCTTATGTTGTTCCATTAACTGTCTGCCTTAAATATATGAATGGTTTAAGTAACCGAAATGCATTTATCTCCCTGACTCTGTCCTCATTAGGCAGGTTGAGCATTAAACATGCACACACATGCACACATATGCACATGTGCACATGCATTCACTCGGCAGTCTAGTTCCTTTGAGGGTACAGCCCGTGTTGCTATTTATCATTCATCACAACATATGAGATCTCTGTTATGAAATGTTCTGTCTTCAAAAACAGATATTGCTTCTCTTTTAGAAAAATATCCTTGGCTGGATCCCTGGAACTTTAATTAAAATCTTGGGTGCTCTGTAAAAAAAAAAAACTTACTGCGTTTTAGACAGCTAGGATGTAAAACGGTGAGGTCAGGAACCAGAATGTTTGCCAGTGGGATGGAAGGGACTGTGAGAGCAGATCAAAGGGTTTCCTAGGCTAGCTAGCCTGAGGGGCCTCAGGGGACATCTCCTGGGGAGAAACCTGCCACTTAATGAGGGCCAACCCATTAGCCCCACATCTCTAGGTTTGAAGATAATTATCAGAAACAGTCACAAATTTTCTTCCATTTGTGGGTGACATTCTCCGGGCTGTTATAAATGAAAACACTAAAAAGATTATCATTGACTAATTAGTTAATTCATTTTTATTTTGTATGGAGTGAAGGTTTGCGTTCCTTCAAAATTCATATATCGAAGCCCTAACCCTCCATATGATGGTATTTGGAGGTTCGACCTTTGGGAGGCGATTAGGTTTAGGTGAGGTCATGAGGACAGAGCCCCTATAGTGGGATTAGTGTCCCTGTAAGAAGAGACACCAGAGCTTCCTCTTTCCTCCATGTGAGCATACAGTGAGAAGGTGGCGGTACACAAGCCCAGAGGAGAGCTGTCACCAGGACACCAATCATTTGGCAGCTTGATCTCAGACTTCCCAGCCCCCAGAACTGTGCGAAATAAATGTCTGTTGTTTAAGCCACCCAGGCTATGGTATTTTGTTATGGCAGCCTGAGATAATGAACACATATATTTTAGTCATTCATGGCACTTATTTAACTTCCATGCCCCTTGCTGGACTGTGAGCCACATAAGGGCAGGAGTCATTTCTGTCTTGTCCATTGCTGTGTCCCTGGTACCTAGCTGGGAATGTGGGAGTGCTAGGTGCTCAGTAAAAACTTGTGGAACGGATGTGGAGGTATGGCATACTGGGTGTGAGAGATATAAAAATGACTAAGGCATAGTTTCTGTCCTCACAGGCTAATGGGATTACTTTTGATTATTATAATATGTACTGTTTCTTTAGTAACTGTACAGGCACTTAGTAAATGTGCCAGGCACTTTACAGATTTTAACTCCTCAAATAACTTGATGAGGTAGGTATTTTTACTTTCACAGAGGAGGAAGCAGTATGACAGAATTTAAATGGCTTCCACAAAGACAAATGGCCACTAGGTAGAGAATCTTGTTTGCCTACTCAGGTCTGTCTCCACTATCTCTGCAGTGCTACCACCTGTGAACATTTTGTGTTTTTTTTTTTCCTTCAAGGTCAGGCTTTTCTGATTTTCTTAATTGAGAATTGGAGGGGATAGAAAACATTTATTTTTTAGTAGAGTTATTACATGAAAAGGTTTATATTTTAGTTGGTCACATGAACTTTGCCTTTAAGATATCTGTCCAGGTTAGATTCTTCCTGAGTGAATGACAGTGGCACTGAGTACACAGCCATCAGTGGGGAAGGCTGAGTGAGCTCTCCCCTCTACCCTCTTAGCTATTCTTTTTTTTTTTTTTTTTAAAGATTCATCCATTCATTTATTCATTCAATAAACAATATGTTGAGGACCCTCTGTGTGTCAGGTATTGTCCTGGGTGCTGGAGAAGTGACAGTGAAGACATTACATTATTCTGAGGGAGACAGGCAACAAACAAACATGGTAAGTGTGTGGTGGTCGAGGAGAAAAAGAATAGCTCACAGCAGTTCTTATTGTCACCATGGGTGGGCTTGCAGGACACTGGATGAGCCTGTGCTGACAATCAAGGAGGAGTCGGGTGGGAAGGCTGACCATTTGAGGATGGTGTGGCCATATTCTTCTCATATTTCTGAGGAGTGGCACGGGACACCCCTTTACCACCAGAGGTTAGAACTAGAGCCTTGGAAACCTCAAACCCACTTCCTCAAGCCTTCACATTCATTTGAAGGGAATCAGCCATGGAGGGAGGGAGGCTGGGTAGCAGCCTGGCTTCTGGCTGTGTGACCACTTGAAGACTGGTCACACACTGGGGGATCTTTCAGGATTGGAGCTGAGGCATTGCTGAAGCTAAGGATGGAAGGAGTTGGCAGATAATGTGCTTGTTTTCATGCCCTCATGCCTTGAATTTTTCAATGGTTCCCACCCACACACACCCCACCCCACCATGGAGAAGTGGAGAAGAAGCCTGTGATGCTGATTCTCAGGCTGAAGGGTCACCCTCATGAGATTTAATTTGCTGCTTACTGTTAAACAGTTAGATAGTAAAGTTGAGAATTCTGAGTTCTGATCTTGGGCATGTGCTTGCATAGGTGCCAGTGTAGCATAGAACTGGCTCAGAGAGGACCCCCATGTTTTTTAGCAGAGAAATCATAGACTCAAAGCCGGCCCTGCGCTCTCATTCTACAGGTAAAGAAACAGAGCCCAGAGAGGTTATATGAGTGAATCAAAAAGGCTGCCTTTTGCCTTTGGCTTCCAAATCCATTCGGAAACTTGCAGACCCAGGCTCTGGGTCAAGGTCAGGGACTTAGTGCTAAACCAGTGAAGTCTGGGCCTTTTCCATGATGCAGTGATCAGCAGAGACACAGATGTGCAGGTCAGCTGGAGGAGTTGTGTAGCTTGAATTACATGCAGTGGTGGATGCGACACCCTCCTCTCAATTACTAGAGGGTTTATAACAATCTTCTTGAATTGTCGTTCCTCCTATGGGGTGGGGGAAGGGACTTAGAACTACCTGTGAGATTCTTCAAAACATGGGCAAATTCTTCTTGCCTCACCCCACTGCAAGAGAATCCAAAATGGAAGAAGAGATGGTGGTGGGCATGGATATTCGTAAGTAATTCTGATGTGCCTATCCCTTACTGACACCCATTGTGGTACTTTATGACAATGGCAAGCTCCTTGAAGGAGGGTCCCAGCGTAAGTGTCCTTGTGTTCTCCGCGGCATCAGGTGGAGTGTCTAATTCACTAGATATTTGTTGAATGAATGTATAAAGCAGATGGTAGTGGAGAAGTAAGAAAAAAATCTCCTAGACAAAAAGGAGTGTGAGGAGGCCCGGGAAGCTGCTCAGTCAGTGCATGCTTATTGAGCATGTTTAAAGGTGAGCCCAACCGTCTTAGCACTGTTGCCATTGACCTTCTATCAATACACATAAACACTGTTCTGCCCTTGACCTCAAGATTTAAAATAATAAATAGCTTAATTGTTCATTATTAATTCCACTTTGAATTTATTATAGATAAATGTGGCCTTGAAAAGAATCACTCCCACGCTCAGCCCAGGCATTTTATCCTGAGCCTCCCAAAGGTGTGTGTGTAGTAAAACAAACAAAGCTGGCCTCCCACCTCCACCCTCACGGGGATAGCGCATTTGCTATTGAGTCCAGACAAATGGCCATTTGCAAGGTTGGATGAGTAGTTAAGCCACATGGGCAAATGTAATATGACAACATTCTTCATGGTAATATTGTCCTCCTCATTACATTTGAAAATATATTGCCACTGTGCAATGCTTCCAACCGCACTTTGTATTTGTGAGCTTGGGAGTTCTTCAGACAAGGTGAGGTCTATATGTGCCCCCCCAAAATTATTAGCTTATTTGTAAGCCTAAAGAAAAAAATCACAGCTATTGTCTGTAAGAACTTAATTTGCCGAAGCTCTTTTCTCCCTATCCTTAATTATGTATATATTTATAGACTTGAGCCACCTGCTTGCTCAATGCTCTTGTATAACCGTATCTCTTATGTGCCACTTAATGTGCCACTCTACATTTAAATACTCAGCTCAGCTTTTGAGTATTAAAACATTTTTCTCCACTTCCTTGAAAAGCTGTGAACAAGCCTTTTAGCATTTTATCTGGACAAAACAGTAGTGGTTTTACCCAAGAAACGAGGACTCTGTAAGTAAATCTCTGTGTTTATATGACTAAAGTGCATTATAAAAAGAAGCAATAAATCCAGTTTTCTACATAAAAGGAATTAGATTTTCCAGTTTACCTCTGCACTGGGATTAATAAAATTTGCAACAAATAGCTGATGGAATGATCCATTTGAAGTTTGTAAAGGCATCTTGGTAAGCTGGCTGGAGTAGCTTTTTCATTTTTTCAAAAAAGGATGTCTGTTAATTTTTTGATTCAGTCTTGTTCCTGAATGAATGTTTTAAAATGAGCTGAGAAACTGTTACCTGTGCATTTCTGCATGGCTGAGCAAATTCACCCGCGAATCCAAGTTTCTCCTCATTTCCATCACTATACGTCTCCAAATTACAGAGAATTCATCCCTGAGCTGGAGAGGTGCCAGAAGTTCCTCATCTAGCTGTCTGTGGGCTGCCTTTTTCTTTCTCCTCTTTGAGGCTTTCTGATGTCTAGAGTGAGCTCAACTCAAAGGTCTCCAGCCTCACGCTCGCCTCACATTCCCCCACAGTCACACGGAGCTCTGTGATTCTGAGGAATACTGTGTGCCAGCATCCAATTCACAGTCTCCTTCTACCTGCAGGTGTTCCAGAAACTTCAAAATGCGTCTGGTAATGTATTTGCCCCTCTAAACCTGCCACTTTGACATGCATTATATGCAGCTGCTGATTATTTTTTAAAAATCTGTCTTCTGAATAACATGCATGCTAGAAAATGTCAAAGGGGGCTCGTAGAACAGTGTAAGCTTAATTATTGGTGTAGGTGTGCATGTGTGTGTGTGTGTCCTTGTTAATGTAGGTATGTTTGCATAAATATGTATTATTTATGGACACATATGTCTGTGCAGGCAGATATCACTAAAGGAATCTCAATGAAAGCACTACTTTTTATGTACATCCAGGTTTTCTAATCAGATCTGTAAACATCTTACACAGCAGCAAGTAGAAGAAAATACATTTTTTATCCCCATGCAAGTGGCATGTTTTAGGTACCTATTTGAAAAACCCTCCTTTCTTTCTTAAAAAAAAAAAATGTGATCGTGTATGTGTCTGTGTCTATGGGGAGGGTGTATTGGTTTTTGAAAATTTGGAGAAAAGAGTTATCTTGCTGCTGCACGAGAGAATTTCTACCCCATGTTACCTGTGTTCTCAAAACTCAGTGATCACGGAGGGGAGGAGATGGTTCTGCTTC